CAATACAACCCAATCTCAACCGTCCATTTCATTTGATTAATATGTGATTTCATAGAAGTTTTGATTGTTTCATAATATAAAGTATTGATCATAATTAATGAACCATATTCATCTTCCATAAATATTCAAATCATAATAAATGAACTCTCATCATTTCCATAAATATTTCAATTTATTGGGTTGCATTGGTTGTACAAATACGACGAATTGTATTTGAAACAAACTCTCTCTCTCTCTCTCTCTCTATATATATATATATATATATATAGACGAATATATCGTGTAAGAAGGAGAGTTCAGGTGAGAAACGTAAGAAGAGATTTGAACTCTTGATTACCTTTAATCTCAAAGTCACCCATGAATCGCTTTGATACAGGATTGATCCGGTGAATTTCGGTGCATCTCATCCTAATGTGCGTCCGAGGGTGGTGACCTCTTCTTACGCTTCTCACGTTAACTCCCATTCTCATCGAAACCCAACTCTCTCTCTCTCTCTCTCTCTATATATATATATATATATATATATATGTTAGTATATATTTTTGATATCCGTTATATTTGTACAATAAGTTGAATAAGCAAGAGTGTTCAAATATTTTTGGAACCCTTGTAATATATGAATGAAAACCATAGGTTGATGAGACGAGTAACAAATAAAACAAAAATTAAAGGTTATATCATATATTTTGTTAAAAATCTTACAAATTAAAAACCAAAAATGGTTCAAAATAACAAACAACATATAAAGTTTATTTATATAAAATAAATTTCTAAAGTTCATCGAAAGCAGGGTTTAGGAATCACTAAATCGGTTAAAAAGGTAAAAAGTTCACTGGGTTAAAGTTTAAACATATAATTAAATACAGATTAAAACATATATACTTAGACCCATAAATTTTGAAAGATCCATTTTATATCTTTTAGAACAATCTCAAATATAATCACATGCATAAACTTTAAATCCTTGGGAGAACATCAACATTTTGGGGGCGTTTACCAAACGCTTACCTTGGTAATTGTTTATCGGCAAAACTCAATACTATCACTTACCGAGTAAGATTTTAGTCCACCAAAACGGTATCGTATGCAACAATTTACCCGGTAAGCGTTAATCGTGACAAGAGTTGTCATCCTTACTTACCGGGTAAGACTCTCGATCATTACCTTTGCTCTTATCGGATAAGATTATTGGTTTTTACATGTTCATCTGGTAAGATAATATAACTTAGTAAACGCTTACGGCTTACCAAAGTAAGCCTTTGATAAACGTACCGTTAAAGAACTCAAGTTTGAAATATTAAACACAATGTGTGAGAAGATTCATTTATGGTTTTGAAAAAAAAATTAGAAAAACCTTGTGTTATAAGTGTGTTGACTTTGAGATTGACCATCCATGTCACCTGTTTTCTTTGGTTCTTTTGATGACATAATAATGGAAATTGTGGTGATGAGTGTACAATCAAACCAAAAGTCAAACACCAATAGAATCTTGTTCCATTGATTCTGTCATCATAATTATGTTTTATATATCCATCATATTATTAAATTAATTACATCCATTTTAATACAATCAAAACGACAACTTTCGTTGTCTTTAATTATGATAACGTTTTAAACACCACTCGTTTAAAAATGATCTCACCCTATTTGGATATTTCATTTTAAAATGCCTCCCGTTGCATTCGTAAATGTAGGAATACGTTGAACGATCTTTTGCGATAGCATGTGGGTGTATATATATAACTGTAGTTTGGAAAGACGACCTTACAAATAAGTCAATTAGCACTCAAAATTTTATAAATGGTAGAGTAAATTATACTTTTGGTCTGTGTGGTTTATTAGAAATTACGGTTGCATCTAGTCGTGGTTCGTTTATTATACTAACTGTCTCTGTGGTTTTCAAATTCCTACGGGTTTCGTCTCTAATGCAGATGTCGTTCGTGAAGAGCCGTTAAGTGCCTTCACATACAAGTCAAGTGAGAGGAATTTTGTCCATTTGTCATTTTCTTTTTTAATTTTTTTATGATACAAGTGTGTAAAACACATACAAAAGTGTTTAAAGCATTAAAATAAATAAACCCATTAATGCACCCCTCCCCTCCCTATATTTTTCTACTCCAATTCAACCACCATTCCATCTCCCTTTTAATCCATTGTTGCCACCATAACAACACCTTCCACCATAGATTGTCTTTTGTAGCAGAAACTTGTATAGGTCCAACAGAGTGGTCACCTATATTATCATCGTGGAGGTGCAAATGCAAACTGGACACTATGACAGCTGTAAGTAATCAAGTGGTAATATGCTAAAATTGTTTCCACATGGATTGGAATAACTAAGGATCATAGATCTTCATGGACATCTAGTGCATATTTCAAGTATTGAGAGAACAATCGATACTTGTGAGAATTGAAGTGCTAATTAACAATTAAAGTAAAACTAGTAGTTAAAAGAAGAGGTATGAGTGTAAGCATTTTTTAAGATATTTGTAGTAACATTATGGACAAAAACATGTGACATAAAATGTTTATAAGAGCMCTTTTTTCTCGACAGTGAACTCTCATAGAGAGTGGCCACCTGTCCCCACAAAATTATCATTTTTACCAATAAAGACTTACCGATTTAACTAAATTGACTTCTAAGAGTTGTAGTTATGCCAGTGTGGAAATAAATACCCATATATCTTTGTGACACCAATATCATCCGACATTTGAACCTTAGTTAGAATCATTCAGAAATCCGCATCTTTATATGGTTATAAAAGACTTTCTCAAATTTTTTTGCATCAATCAAGCCGTATTTTCGTATATGCCTATCTCTAGGTCTAAGATCTAATACACTTACAAGTGATGGGCTTGTCCGTATTTGAGTTAAAGTCTCAGTTAGCCCCGAAAGAAAATAATAAACCCTAACAAGTAACTGTAGAAGGGAGGGAGTTGAATACAAGTACACAAAATATTCACTCAGTTTAATTCTTGTTTATTTAAAATAAAGAATTACACTTAGAAAATAAGATTGATGCAGGATACGAAAGATTAAAATTGTCCTAACAATTTCACTTAGATTACAAGAACTCAACTAGCGCTAGAATTTTTATGCCTTTTGAGAGAGTTGTTGATTTCAACTTCTGCATGTAAAGAACTATTGAAAAGTGTAACCTTGTATGGGAGAACCATTTTTGATCCTCTCTCTCAGTGAATTGATGATAATCCTTTTTACCTTATACAAAGTCTTTATGTTTATGTCTTTCAGTCCAACGATCATCACTGAGTCTGTTCAGTGATCACTGAGAATATGTAATGTAAATTCATCAGCGACAACAATACTTCAAGAAGACAAAACTCACACCGAAGAACCTTCAGTGAAAGTCGAAGACTGAAACTGAAGATTAGAGACTGGCGAGTTCGTGATCTGAAGCAGCATTCAGTTATTACGACCTGGTCTACATATGTGTGAAGACTACTCAAGCTTCAGCCAATGCTGAAGAGACCTTCAGGTTATTCCAACATTTAACGATCAAAAGAAGCTTGTAGAGCACGATTGTTTTTGTCTTGTCCTTTCACACACAAAGGACAAACCCATACCCTTTCTAGAGCATAATACCGTACGAAGCCGATTAGTTGACTCTACTACCCACCAACTCCATGAAAGGATGTCTGCTCTTCAGTAGGCTTTTGTACTATTCACTGTAGCAAAGGACAAGTCTTTCTCTAAAGGCTTGACGCGTGTTCAAACCCTACTACATTGCATTAAATAATGTGCATTTAATGCAATAGTATAAATAAATGTATTCTATCTCCATGCAGAGATACTCTTGAACCCTAACTCTTACGTTCATACGTGAAAGAACACACATCTAAAGAACACAATACGCTTATCT